CCTGTGAAATCTTCAGTGCAGTTTTCCATGTCAAAGATGCCGCACTCAGGTCACTTTCCATTGTTCGTCCCCATGTTGTTTTTGGGCGCCCCTGTTTTCTCTTTCCCTCTGGTGTCCATGTGAAAGCTGTTTTGGCAGGTATATCAGAAGTCATTTTCATAACGTGGCCAAGCCATTTTCATCTTCTCTTGGTAATCATACTGACTAAAGTTTCTTGGTTTGTGGCTTGAAGGAGTTTAGTGTTTGAGATTGTATCTGGTCAAAAAATTTTGATAATTCTACGTAGACATGTGTAGTGGATGGTGGACAGCTTGCGTGCATCCTTTTTGGTCATTCTCCAGCATTCCGCTCCATAAAGAAGAACTGGCAAAATGATGCTCTCGTAGAGTCAGAGTTTTGTTCCTCTGCAGTAATTGTTGGATTTCCAGATTTGCCTCATCCTTCCAAAAGCAGCTCTAGCTTTGTTCAGGCGTGATTGTATGTCTTCCTCTGTCCCTCCCAGTAGGCACACCACATTACCAAGATATGTGAAATGTTCAACATTTTCAAGTGATTGGTTACTTATGGTCACTGGTTGTTAGTTTTGACTGTTTGTCATGATCTTGGTTTTGCCCCCAAATGCTGATTTATTTTGCTGTCCATTGAGCCTCACAAAGCCTATACCTCAGCTTTGTCCCTGACAAGCATAGTTAATTAACATCACTGGTTCTCTTTGCACCTGTGCAGTGTTTAGGACAGATGACATCATAAACTGCCTTTAGCAGCTGCACTGCCACTGGGCCACAGCTTGAATCACCGTATACATCTTTTAGGCAATAGGGATTTATTTCATTTCATTCTCCATTTTGTTCACATTTACTTATTACTGCCCTTACTTCTTTTAAAAAAATGTTAAAAGTGTAAAATACTTTATTTTTTTAAAAACTTATTAGTAACCTGTGTAAAATGTTTTTTTAAAGGAGTTTTAAGACAGCTCCCAGAATTTAGGAAGAAAGGGAAATGTGACATTCGTTATCCATCATTTTCTTCAGCAATGTTCTCAACAAGAACTCGCAGATCTAGTGGACCGTGTATACAGAGTTTGGTTTAGATATAAACTCTCTGAAGATGACAGGGCCAATCTATCTGCCGAAAGTGACGACTAGGGCTGATCAGTCAGCCCGATAATACTCGCCTTGAGATTAGCTGGCTTGTCTTCATCCCAATCACTCATAGACTGCTTTTCCCATTTCTTGCACATCTGGGATTCTCAATGGTGCCATTCATGATAGTTTGTTGTGTTCTGTAATTTTACATAAATTCTTGAATAGCTATTGTCATGAAATGACACGATGTCCGACAGCGTCTGAGGACAATATCCTTAGCAAATCAGATTTATCCCAGCCTAGCAGTGAATCTGACACTGAAACTGGTGAAACAACCAGGAAAGAATGGAAAAGATCAAAATGATGAAGGCAATGACTTAGTTCAACCTCTGGAATATACACGAGGCAGGGAAACTGACGAGAAGTGTTCCAGCAAGCTGTGATGGAAGCCATGCTGTCAAAGAACTTGTCACAATATTACAAATGATGATAACTCAAGGAAACATAAAATACAGCAATTGTGTATCAAGCTTCACTAAGATGTTTGAATAAAAATAATAAATATAGAGAGTTAACTTTCGTACAAGATTTGTAAGGAAGAGATGAGGATGTTTTATGAATGTTTTACAGACACTTTTATTCTGCACTGTAATGAGGCAGAATAACATAACAAACAAACAGTGTGTAACAGCTGACTAGAAATGATGCTATCCACACTCAACAATTTAAATAAAATAAAATAACTGCATCTTCAGTGTGCACTACGAAAAAAACTTGACAAATATTCAAAATAAAAGCTGACAATGCTCATTTGTCAGTGCAAATAAAAAATTAAAAAATGACATATGTGGATAATGCGGACAATACCAGATTAGTAACTGAAGTGAAATGCATGCCTGATTGTCTCTGACGTAAGTTGCAGTTACTTGCTCTATGTTGATTCAAGCAAAAACTACTATCAGAGAGAGATTTGATTGTCTAAGCCGTTTCAAATAAAGTATTCCCAGTTATGTGTATACTATATATTATTATATCCACTGAATATATGGGGAAAAACAGCATTTCTGATCTTAAACAAAGCTTACATCTGCAACAGTATGGAATGTCCTGAGCAGGTTGTAATGAACACAACACTGCCAGGTGCAAAAAAACACTGGAAACTGGCTCAACATAAACTTTTGTATGGCGGTCATAGTTTCTTGCACCAATGTAATAAAGAATAATGGCTAAAATTAAATTAAAAACAACAAAAATGTACATGTCAAGAAATAAACAATTACTGCAAGCCTTAAACTACGTTCAAAGTGCCATACACAGTTTAGGAGTCTTCAAGCATACAACAGACTCCATGACTCAAAATGTAACAACATATATGGCATACCAAGTTTAACATACAAACATAGGTTTGTAATACACTAAACACCCAAACCTGCTTGTCTTTAGCTTATTTACTATAAGATACACACTGGTGGCTCTTTCTTCAACAGCTCACAACTGGACAATGATTACATGAAGTCTATGGTCATCATGTCCACCACCTAGTGTGTACCCTGCCACCTATGATGTATCCATGCAACAGCAGCAAGCAATAGTGAACCCACATTTACAGTGACATGGAGAATACATGCATTCTATACCATTTCATTAAATAATACTGCAATTTCAATGGAATTTTAAATACACATCCCCCAAAAAATAGAGGGGGAGGGGGGGGGGGAACTAAGCCAAAGTATAGCTCCTCAACTATGTTACATCGACAAATCACATTTAAAAAAACGAAGCCCTACCCAGGAGCTCCCAATGGCAGCAACATGCATCCACTAAAGCACATACAGACATCACAAAATCAACAGCATCAGAAAAGGAATAAAATAAATACCATAGCTGAACTACCGGGCATTTATTAATTAACTCTTTGAGTCCCAGTAGATTTGGCATCAGAGGCCCAAGGTGTAGGCAAAAGAAACGTAAAATGGCTGCATCTTGTGGTAATTGGGCCTCTAGGTAGGAACCTGTGAACGTATGTTGCGTCCCTTGGGATTCAAAGAGTTGAAGAACATCAGTGAAAATGAACTGAACTAATATTTTCACTGAACATCTGGTCTCTTCCAGCCATCAGTATATCTTGTTACACTGTGCTGCTGTTTGATCATTTGTTAGTGCTGAACTGACTGCTACACTTCCAGTTTCAGGTATATTTTCTGTGCACAGCTGAGCAGCTGGTCTGTATCCTTTGTGTGAGCTTGAGAACCGCTGGGAATGTGCCAAGTGTAGGAAGTCATCTTGACTTGACTGACACTTTGATTGGCACCTTTCCGTCTTTCCAATGAGTGTTATACTGTCACATGGGGAGGCCTGGGACTCACAGCCCATGGCAATCCTCTCCATAGAACAAGGCCTGGGCAGTACTGTAGAGACCATATGTTGCCCATGGATCATGATCCCCCAATCAACCTGCCTTGTTTACTCCAAAGGAAAGCTAACACCAGTACATTTGGAACAAAGCAAGCTGCAGAAGCTGTGGTATGCCAGGCAGTATTACAAGATCACCTCCAAATGATGGCTACTGATATCAGTAATAAGAAGCAATTTCAATGCACTACAACCAAGACTGCAGGTGTTCAGTCTCCCTCAGCAAATATGCAGGTATAATAATACTGACTTTCTGTAGCACACTGAGACTGTCATTCCCAAGGCACTCTTTCCTATTTCCTAATCATCTTCACCTCACATTAACATTACAGCAGCCTTAGCTTGTTGTTGCTGGTCATCAGATTTTAGAAAACAACAGCAATTTTGTATTTGCTAAATTTTTCATCAAAACCAAAATGTCCTCTCACTTCCTAATAATCAGTCAATACTGGTGTTGCTGTTGATCAAGTCAAACAACGGCATTAGTGCTGAATACAAATAGGTACATCCTATTTTAACACACACAAAAAGCGCATAAATGATCATGCTGAATGACAATGAAAAATGTTGTTACTGAAAACTGGGTTCCATATTATTACTAACATGACACACACAGAACAGAAAACAGCCCTAGAAATTCCTTTGACAACATTAAGATAAACGTTATACAGAAACATGATCACATGTTAAAGTACAGGAATGTTATCTGTTAATTCTGTAAAACAAAGTGTCCTGTCTGCATAACATGAATGCCTGCCAATTTTAATTACAAGAATGCAGAGTATTTTATGTTAAACTAAATATTGGAGTGTGACAATGTCAAGGATAAACACTTTTACAAGAGTGTTCTAAACTCCACATTCGTGATGATATATTAGGTCATGTCAGGCTATATGGCTTAGCAAAATGATATCAAGGTTTTTCTCCTCTAACATTCCGCCCATACAACTAGCTTCGCGGCTGCTCCCCTCCCCCCACCCCAAAATGGAATCTTTACATGGCTTTCCCTTCAATTTTACATCAATGTATGAAGTTTCAATGTTATAAATATTCACTTCCATGTAACTTCTATTTCTGCCAGGGTTGTGTGGCAAACTGTAGCCTACTCTACAAATTTCCAGCTGTTCTACCCTGGTTCAGAATCAAGTATATTCATTTAATATCTATAAGCTAATCTTACAGTTCAACTGTATACCCACTTGCTGACACCAGACAGAAAGTGACAATTCTGACTTCTGTACTTTATCTCCCAATGGAGTGTAGGCCTTTAACCTGAGTTCTAACAACATGCAAATAGTTTACCACTGAATAATTATTTCCAAAGGTTTTGGTAATTAACAGAACAGAGACACAAGACGATTTTAGCAGAACTGAAAAAAGCCTGAGAATAAATAATGATGCGTTAAATAACAGCCCTGATAGAAGACTTACGAGAGTCGGCTGAAATTTCCTCAGAAATGCGTGGGTCTTTTTTAAATGTCATTTAGTTTTGGAAACATTATGTTAAACTAATGATGATGATGATTTGCTTTTTCTGATCTGTTTGTGGGTGTCAGCTTTAGAGGCAGATCTGTCAACTGAAGGGACATGTTGGTCTGTGACCTGTAGGTCATGCTGGTCTGTGACCTGTAGGTCACGCTGCACCAGATGAAGCTCCTGTACTGTTCTAACAGGACTCCGTCCAGGTTCCACATCAAATGAACTGTCTTCATGTCTGACTGTGGTTGAAATGTCACAACTCTGAACCACCTGAGTCTGGAAATAAATATTCAAAATGAATTTACCTAGGACAGAAGGTCAAGGTAAACCATTGGCAGGTGATTCTTTAGAATGTGAAATGACAGGCCTTAACATATATCTGTTGAGCTGAGAAACCATCAACCCGGATGCTTCAAGATACCAGCTAAGTGATTTTGTGTAGTATTGTTTGAGTTGTATGTGCTGATGAAGGCTCCATAGCTGCAACGTTCACGTTTTGTTTTTTTTGTGTTATATTATGAAGCTTGCTAATATACTTTTCGTTCGGTTTTATATCTTTTCTTAACATATATTTAGAACAAAAACACTTTAAACCACAAATACACAATTTATTCCATTGCTGATTACTTCTTGCTGAGCTGAAGAATAGAAGTCTCCTGTTGAGGCAGTGGCTAAGATTTGTATGGAATCTTTGTCCCCTAGGAACAGAATGAGGCAATCATCCTAAACCTCTCAGCCAAGTGATCCTCTCACAAAAGGCAGATGATAAATTTGAACTGTCTGGGAAAAGTGAAGAACCTAGACCTAATCTCTGTTGTAAGTGCTGTGCTGAATCTTCACTAAGCTACCTTCAAATTAACCATATTGCAGTTACTACTTTGTTTTCACGACTGGTTATGTGTTTGAATGCCTGAGCCTGCCCTCACAGTGGTGGGTCAGTCTGCCCCCAGCAAAGCAAAAGACTCAAGGAGTTAACACGAGTATGTCCAAGCCTATTAGTCTGCAAACTGAATATGCTGTGATGTTTTTTTACATGGTTACCCACACTGATCCTCCTAAACTTTCAGTGATGACACGTCTCCTACACTTTCAATGGATGCATCTTCTACACTTTTAATGATGCAGTCTCCTACATTTTTAATGATACCACATCTTCCACACTTTAAAGGATATGACATTTGTAAATTATTAATTATATTAAATATCTTACACTTTAAATGATACCACAGCTCTTATTATACTCTCAGTGATACCAAGTCTTCTATACTTTCTCTAATACCATAGCTCTTATATGTACAATCTTTTAGTAAGATTTCCCATACTTTAACATCTCTTACCCTTTCAATAATACTATATTTTACCCACGTGTAATGATATATCTCCTAAATTTTCAACAATACTCTGTTTCTGATGACACAGTAAGGAGGAAAGTGGAATATTTAATTCAGTAACATTCATGTACACAGAATAATGGAGGTATCATCTGACCGCAAAGGAATGTAGAACACTGGAAGGAAAAAAACAACTCACCTCCGGGGCTGTTATCTTGTCAATGCAGACTCTCATTTCTGCCACTAGAGACAGCAGCATGTCTGTGCTAGCCTCCCAGATATCTCCATCAGACCGCAGCGTGTGGCTTTCAGGAGAGCAGCTGTCACCTTGAACTCTGATCACCAGTTCCTGCAGCTGTCTACAAGCTTCAGATAACTGTGCTTGCTGTGTACAGCAACAGATGAGTCTCAGTGAGATAGCATCCAGAAAATTAGGTGTTGTCAGAGTTTCTATTTGTTGGCAGTGGACACTCATGCTCATGTAGACAGACAACTTACTTGCGAAATATAACTACCATAGAGCTGCACATTTTAAAATTAATTTTCAAAAACACAATGTACAGAAATATCTGTGTGGCTTCCGGGGTCCCATTGGGGAGTAGTGGCCCTAAGAATCATATCATAAAAGACAACTAATAAAGGACTTGCTGAAATCAGATTCTGTTGAACTGAAAGGTGCAAATATTGCAGCCTAGCTGTAAACCATAACACAACATGCCAACAGTGAATGCAGAAGAAGAAGAAATTAACCCAACACAAGATATGAATAGAAGGCATACAAATATAACATTTCAACCAACATTTTTGCCAACCTCAGATAACAAGCCCCACCCCCCCAACCACACACATGCACCTACCCACACACGCACAAGGAAAACAATCAAACAGGCAGATAATCCTCAGGGTGAACAGAAAAGAATGTAGGGATGCCGAGACCAACACACACATTAAGGGCCTACGCTCTATGAGGGGTAACATATACCTAGATGTACAGATCTATCTGGATGTTGTTCCAAACCTTGTTCCTTTCCCATTTTGTGCAAATCCATTATGGTCTGCATTTGGAAAAACCATCAGTGTGATCTTTAAATTACCTGTCACATTCCCTTCATTGAGTTTCCAAGTTACTTTTTGTGCTGTGATTATTAGGAGAACTGGATTCCATCGGTTCATCCACATAACTCCCCCCACTCACGGTACTGAGTGGTCTTGAGGTATGGCTGAAGGTCCCGGATTCAAACCCTGCTAGGATTTTTTAACGTGGACTTCTAGTAATTTTCCCCGGTCTCTGGGTAGTAAGACCGGATGCCAGATGTGTACTGTTACACATGTAAAAAATCTCTTGGCAGTTGGAAGTAAAAAAAGACTAGCCTAACAGCACTGCCCAGGCAAAATTCAGAGTTAAAAATCTACCCAAAGTATTTCAGGATCCTCGCCGGTGCAACAGAGTTCATGCGCTGAGATTCTTCAGACTCAGAGGCTTGAGTTAGAAGTAGAATGGAGCACCTGTGTGCCATGATGTTGATCCACTGAATAAACAAACATCCACATAACATCCAGATGAATCCATCCAGATATTGTTCTGCTGCCCTGCAACAGCTGTCATTGAGCTAATGAATCCAATCCCCTAGTGTGTATATGACATTTCACTCATTTTGCCTTGGACAATCAATTGGACATATCTACTGACATGATTATCCTGTACTCTACAACATACACAATGACATTATATTATATAACCATTCAGAAATGTATTTCTCAACCAGCTACCTAAGTGTGGGGGCAATGCAAACAATTTTATGAACCAGTGACATGTCATGAGCATCACTCAATGGCATACACTGCTGCAATGAAATACAAAGACTGTAATAAAAAAAAAAATTAAGTAGGCCATACACACACTAACAACAAAACCTACCTGCTTATCATAGCCTTTGCCTTTAGCTTCTCTAGCAGAAAAACATTTGCCCTTGGCCTGAGTATCACATTCTTGAGAAGTTCTGTTTTCATCATCATGAGAGTAACCATGGTAGCGGTAATTCAAACCTGGAGATATGAAAACCAAATTCAACGTACCAGTTCTCTTTCTTCTGTCCACTCTGGACAAAATCCTATTGTTTTTTAATAGACAAACATCTGCTCATCATCAATCACTTTCATCTTGCAATCCCAAATGAAGCCATCCTCCTGACTCGGTATATCAAGCAACATGTTTGACTAACTGAGCGTATCTCTCCTCTGGGTTTTAGGCAGTTACTTGGTAGTCTTCATCTTCTTCTGTGTCTTTTTCACTCGATTGATCGAGAGCAGACATAAGCAATGTTGACTTCCCAAGCACACATAACCTTATATTTTGATGAAGTTTGTGTTGTTTATTTTATTATTTCTTAATGCGCATTCAAGTTTTTGGGGACTGGAGAGTTTATTCATTATATCTTGGTTATGTTTTGCTTTGTACTGGTTTTCCTCAGTTTTCTCCTCACTTTGTATCTTGCTCTCAGCAAAACTATCAGCAAGCTGGCCTGTTTACCAGTGAAAGTTTACCCATCGCCTTCAGTGACTGTGTTGGCATGGCTGGTATGTTTCTTCTTATTTAGACTCTTTCCTAGATGCCATAGTTTTTTTAACCGTCTTTCTCCATGCTGAGAGCTGCAGTCTTTTCCTCTTAGTAACATATAGCGGCTCTGGGAGGATATGTAGTTTTACTGTCAGATGTTCAGACTCACTGATGATTCTGGAGGTTTCTGTGACTGCAATATGTTTTACTTATGTAATGATGCCTCCTTTGTGGCCATCTCTGTCTAGATTGTATGTTTCATAGCCTCTGATAGAGAAGCAAGAGCTTGTATGTTTCCTGAATGCAGACATCAATCTTTTGTTCGTATATGAACCTAAGAAACAGAAGGCACCTAGATCGAATGGAATAACAAATGAAATGATAGTACACGGGACCAGCTGGTAGGCAACGACTCAGACCTTATCAATCAATCCTGGACCCAGGGATTTCTTCCAAAGGAATGGAAGGAGGCAGAAATAGTCTCCATGGCAAAGAAAAGAAACCTCAAGAAAAACAAATCCAGTTACCGCCCCATAAGCTGCCTTGGAAAGACCACGGACAGATTAGTAAACAACAGGTTACTTAATTTCCTGGGAGAAGACACAATATTGGATGACAACTAATCTGGCTTCAGAAGCACTGATGTCCAAACCTTTTATCTCGAAGATGCTTTCCATAAAAAAATACAAACTACAATTTACGGCTCACATTCACAAGGCCCTACATGCAGATGGCCTGGCCATATGGATCCAAGCTGTACCTAGGAAGCAAGAATGCATGAAGCTATAAATACGGTTTAGAAATAGACAGACCCTTGCGAAGTCACAATAAACCAGACCAAAACCATCTCAATTATCTTCTCTCTTTCTACAAAGCCAGAACAAGTTGATCTGTACCAAGATGGCAACGTCCTTCCAAAAGAGGACAACCTCCATATATGGGAGTCAAATTCGACAAAAGAACCGATCTGGAGCTCTCCCACACTGCAGACACCCAAAGCAAAGCTAGCCTGAGGCTCAGACTTATGAAGAAACTTACTGGAACAAGCTGGGGCACAGATGCCAACACTGTACGACAAGTATACACAGGATACGTAAAACCAAAACTGGAATATGGCATGGGAGCATACTCCACTGCAGTCAAAACAAACCTACACAAACTGGACAAACTACAGAACACTGGTCCCAGATTCATTACTGAAGGTATGAGAAGCACACCAATCAATGATCTGTAGGCAACCTCTAGCCTCCAGAGTTTGTGCCATCAAAGGGAAGAGAAGGTGGTCACCCTAACAGAAAAATTTTAATGAATGAACAACAATCCCATGCACAATAGCAAACAGCTTAACTAAAAACCAACTGACAAGACAAAGTTTTCCTGATCTATCAACATTTTTCTGTGACAAAAACAGTACCATCCTTTCTAAAGACATTTCAACATCAGAAATCATCCAGACATACAACACAGACCTCCAGCCTAACTATAAAGTCGCAACAAAAATCCCAGGCATTGACAGAAAGCCTGAAGAATGAGAACTAGTACTGCGTGCAAAGACAACTCTTACCCGAGACTTGAATAGACACATGCATACACCGATGGATCACTGGAGGGAGCAGCAAAAAACAAAAATGGAGAAGCTGGTTTGATCATAATGCTGCAAGATGAGACTACAGACAGTGGAAAAGTCATGTGCCTCCTGGAAACTCTCAGCAAGCTTCAGAGCAGCAAGCAATTATTAATACAACCAAAGTGTTCAAGGAAAGAACAATTAAAAACAAAAATTTGTTTCCTTTGTGACTGCATGTCAGTCCTCAAGGTGACTCAAGGGGATCCAGGAAACAACATAGAGAGAAAACTGACCTGACAACATAACAGACTCTTAGAAAACAATCAAATCATTCTCCAGGGGATCCCGCCTCACTGCGGCATACCAGGAAATGAGTTAGCAATAAAATGAAACAAAGGAGAAACAACACACCCATTCATCGTCATTACCAGAAATCAGAACACTTATCAAGGGAAAATACAAGGAACTGTGGAGAGAACAAACCAACAGTAAACATGCACAAGACCCCATCAGCAGACTCAACAGAAAGCCACATACAACAATATAGAACAGGACACTGTAGACTCAACTACCACATGCATACAATAAAGACTGTACAATCTTCAGTGTGCCTGTCAGACAAGACCAAAAACACCTGAGCACATTATGTAGAGCAAGCTATGGGGAACCACAAAGAACCTGCAGTTGGCATGCGAGTTCATAGAGGCAATCCATCTGTTGGTCTGATCTGAGCAAACAAAACCGCAATGCAAAGAATAGGAAGAAGGGCTCTCCTTTAAATAACGGTCGCTAGCTGGAAGGCGACGGCCGCTTAGTCCGAGTTCACTCCCTTGGCTGCAGTGCAAATATGGAGCGGACAAGTCACGAATCAAAAAACAAAGTGAGGTCGACATGCCTGCTAGAGCTAGACCACGCGCTGCGACTGACAGTAGCGACCGCAGTCTTGCGACGCAAGACTCTCGTAGACCACGTGCTGCGACTCACATTAGCGACCGCGTTCTTCCGACGCACGACTTAGTGACCGTAGATGTGAGACCTGCGGATCTGTATGTTGTAATGAGCGATAAGCTTTCGTCGTGTCCGTGATGTGTCACCCTAACCCTACCCCTCACCCTAACCCAAGCCCTAAGCCAAACCCTAGGATGACAGGTAACTATATCATTTGTTTCCTTCCCTCTTTACTACTCCGTATTTGCATTGCAGCCAAGGGAGTGAACTCCGACTATCTAAGCGGCCATCGCCTTTCAGCTAGCGACCGTTATTTAAAGGAGAGCCGGAAGAAGAATGGTATTATTTGTTGGCTGCCTGTTTCAGCAATACCTTATTTCTTCCTTTGACTTCTTCCTCCCCCTCTTTTCTTCTACCTATTATTCTCCTGTTTAAGGTAAATTTTTAAATTTCACATTTTTTGTTGACAAGTCTTTATTTTAAGGTTTTTTAAAGTAATTCTGTAACACCTGTACATCTCAATACCCACCGCCAACTCTAGATTTATAGCTAAAGATGGCCGTGTCAATACCCAAGAATTTGTTGTCTTCTCTGTCCATAACATTCACAACCATATTTTCAACAACCCTATCTTCAGTGCCTAGTTTCTTCACACAATTCCATTCAGGAGTATTATCAGGTAAAACATAAGCCGTGTGTTAACTTAGCAGGGACAGGAGGTTAGGGGATGAGAGTTTTCAAATGACAAGTGATTTATAATGTTTATAAATTTGTATTTTCCTAATGAGCTATTAAACCCCACAGAAGACAAAAGGTTAAACCTGACAAGCTTCAAGAAACACTCACTGTATTAGACTATTTGTTTTATGTCTTGCCTGGTATCTTTTACACTGGTCACTCTGGATATAAAGAAAACTATTTATAAAATATCTTTAGCCACCAAGAATTCTTAAGAACCAAATAAAGACAATCCTGAAATGTCTAACCACCAGAACCCAGAATCTACTGTTACTTGTTTTTACTGAATCACAGTGAGACTGCAGTATAGCATACGCAGCCTGGGAAAGTCATTAAGCTAACACTTACAGTATGAACTGGACTGAACCTTTCCATGCAACCTGTGATAAGCAACCAGCCAAATACTGATTGCCTCACTTAGCCCAGTATTTTTCTCTATCAGTTATTGTACCTCTAATTTTGACAAATATACAAAGTAATAGTAAGTAAAGGATCCCTATAAAGAGACATGGTTCAAGCCTCAAGGGGGAATCCAAAATATGATCATCAGGCCGGCAGAAAGCTCTCACATACTATGATGCTGCAAAACTGACCAACGATACTGAAACACGTGGCAGAGAAAGACAACAAACATCTGACTCACCGTGGCTATTGTCTGATATTGAAAGTGTAGTTCCAGCCATATTGCCAATTAGAAAATCATCATCATCACATTCAAAATCATCATCTTCCAGCATCTCAGAGGTCACAGGGGTCATGTAGTACCAGTCAGAGACATAGCTCTGAAACAGACAGCACTTAGCATAATCTTCCAAAAAAACACAGCAAATTATGTTTTTTCCTGCCTGTCTCACTCAGTGCACCAGATACAATTTACAATAAATAGACTTAAGGAAGGTGCCTACAGATATGAGGGCTTTTCAATAATCAACCTCCGATTTGCGATAGTGATATCGTTTGTTGCTTGCAATATTCATTAGTCTTTTAGCTCACTACACATAACCTACAGTTGTGTTTGTTCAGTGGTTCACAAATCGCGAACAAATAAACATGGACAAAGTTACTGCTTTTCCAAAACCTTTGTGTGCACATTGGTATTACCAATCTGACTTATTTTTGTGCAGACTATTGGTTCCTCATCTCTCAGGCAGAGGTAGTCCAACTTTGAAGGAAACCCCTAATTAGTCGACTCTTACTACGTTAGGGAGGCAGTGGGTCTAACCCCCCCCCCCTCCCCATAATGCCCAAGAACTCACCGGGGAAAGGTTGAGACATAAAAATACAAATATAAAAGGCAAGAGGAGAACAGCACAATAATGTCTGTGGGAGTAAGAGAAAATTTAAAGTAGAACCAAACCAAACTATTTAATTCTATAATCAAATCAGTACCATCAGTACCACTGTAAGGAGCTGAAACAACTAAAAAAATAATTAATTATGAGCCTCCATTAACTGGTGTCTGTACAGAGCAGAGGAAATTAAATAGGACTACAGGATAACTAAGTGGAGCTTTGGGAGAACATTTTAGAAATTCCACTGAATCAAGAGGTGAAGAGGCAATGCTGGCACTGAAAAGGACATACTAGGAGAAAACCGGACAATAACATATCTAGAATGTTCTTGCAATAGAACCCACAGCACCACAAAATAAAGGGTGACCAAAAAACACAAAGAAAAGAAAGTTAGAGATGAGGTGAATCAGCTGGAGAGGGAACTGGGTAAGCTGGAAGCAATGGCCAGTTGCTAAGGTTAGCTACCACTTTACCATTAACAGCTCGGTAAATTTTTACAAGCTACAGTGAACAAGCATATCCACAATGACATAAAACTGAAGGCTTCTCTCCCAGTTCTTTTCAGCCATCCCAGTTACAGTATGACCATTTCAATGTTTCCAGTTTCATTTTTTTGCCTTTTCTTATTTTTGTTTCCCTCCATAATCTAGAGACTTTAACATTTCAACTCCAGAATTTATCTGGATTTCAAAGGTCACTACAACACCAGTCAATAATTTTGATGCGCAGGCACATGTTGCTCAGACTTCATTTTGTGAACAACGACAACACGAACAGAGTGAACAACTGGATTTGATTTCCCCTGGCCAAAAAAATGTGTTGGGTGACTTACTGTGACCCCATCAGAATTTTAAAACTAACACTTAGTAGGGCTGTACTGAATATTCGTTCGGGGCCGAACAGTAGACCTACAGACTATTCAGTATTCGGCCGAATAGTAGCGGTCGAGCCGAATACGAATAGTATACACCCGCTTCTGCATACACAGCCTTTATACTGACAACATGGAACAATTGCTTTTGTTGAAAGCTAATGCTGCTTTCATGCATTCACTAAGCTGTCAGTGACAACTTCCAAGTTTAGTTACTTGTTATAATACTTAGGATTCTTTCATTACTAGTTATTAGTTACCACAGACTGACTGAAGGATGCAAAACATAAAATGTTCTTAAATGTTTACTATTCTGTACGAATACTAACTAGACATGGAAAGAATATAAACTCCGGCCACATCCAAAACAATAATTTGAAAACAAACGAACGGAAACATATAAGTACTTGTGTGCAAACTTCAACTTCTCCAACATGCTGAGAGAAGAAATACAATCTAGAAATAAAGTTTACTATGCCCTTAAACATCTGCTAAAGTCAAAGTGTCTGTCTCGCAACACCAAGATCAAAATATATAAAACGTTGATAAGACCAATCGTTTTATATGGTGGCCTTATTTCAGGTTTTCGAAAACAGTCTTACGACAAATCTGTGGACCAATCAAACATGCTAACAGCGGGGAATGGAGAGAGAAGCAACAACGTAACACATAATCTGTTTTAATCACTGGCATCATGAGAGCTAACAGACTACAATGGTTGGGGCATATTGAAAAAACGTCAGAAGTCACAGAGAAGTAAAACTGTAAACACCTGAGAGAGGAATGGGCGTAGACCACGAGGCAGACCAACAAAAAAAACAACTGGTGTCACAAATTGTGAAGAGAAGGCCAGCCAGAGAGATGAATGGAAAAGAGTGATATCTGCAGCAGTAAACCTCAAGGCCAGCCAGAGAGATGAATGGAAAAGAGTGATATCTGCAGCAGTAAACCTCAAGGGCTCAGAATGCTTTGGAAAGAAGATGACTATTCTGTGCTACTTTATGTGAAGAAAAAGTTCAGCATACATTTGACATTATGAATGTGTGTGTGTGTGTTTTAGATTTATTTTATGCACTAAATAACACTATTCGTATTGGGCCAAATAGTTGGTCCCGTTATTCGTATTCAGCTAAATAGTGAAAATCACTATTTGGTACAGCCCTAACACATGGGGTAAATCACAGCGCCACGATAGAATAGCTATAAAAGAACCATTTTATTCATATTTTTTTTTTAAATCTCACAAATGCAATTTTTAGTAAATATATTTATATCCTGACCTCACAGCTAAAGGCATTAATTAGGCATTTCATAAAAATGTCACTGTAGATATTCCAGGTTAGCGGCACTTAGGGCGAATTGGACCCTATCAGCAGTGCTAGGTTTGTTACAAAAGAGTTAACTTTCAGTAGATACAACAATTTAACTAGTCCTGGACTTACAATTACTTCAAATAGAAATTATCTAACATAAATCAAAGTGGCGAGTGATAGATGTAGAGATTGAGCAGAGCTTCTTACCATGTCAGTTTCAATTCGAGATCTCATTTCCATGGATCGATTGAGTGACTCGGTACTGTTCCTATCCACATCCTGGCCATCACAGCCAGAAAAGAAGTCAAAAGCACCCAGCATACCATTGGAAGAAGAGTCAGATCCAGTCCCGTTTTTGTCATCATAAAGCTGTGAGGACAGCTCTGAAAATAATGACTGTTCTGGTATTTCTTGATGTCTGGGACAGAATTCATGAACATTAGCCGGTAGTTCTGAAAATAACAGTTTCTCATTGCTGTCCTCACTGCTGTCAGATATATCCAGAGCTGGAAGGTCATGTTCACTAGCTATTTCATTTTCTGGAGAACTTTTGTCAGGCAAACAGTGTTGAGAACAAGTTTCCAACTCTGACAATGGTAAACTGTCAGGGTGTTTAGAATGACTGCACTCTTTCTGATCTGTTTCTGGCACATCTGACTGCTCACACACACCCAGCCTGTAGTGACTGTGAGGGTCAAACTGTGAAGAGAGAGCTGAAGAGTTCTGATTACCAACACTACTTAAAACAGAAATTGCAGAACATCTACTGGGATCAAATAAACTATGCTGTGACTCTGAATACACACTCTGTTTTGGCCCACTATCACTGCCTTCCTCATCATCACTTCCACCATTGATTTTCTGGTGGTGACGCTTTCTTGATCCCTCCATCAAACAACATATGCTACAGTCACCTGTGTGTCTATTATGACGACACATGGAAGAAAAATCTGTCAATAGAGAGGAGTTAGTCCGTGAAACTGTATTATCTCCTAAGCTGAGTTCAGCAAACAGCGACTGCTCAGATGTCTGCGTCGGACCTTCACTGTTACCAGACTCAACACACTCATTTAACCGTGTGCTGTCTTGTGCAGCTGGCTCCTCTCCTGCAACTGTATGAATTTCTGGTTGATGAGTAACCGGCTGATGTAGAAGAGAGTGAGGATGAGATTGTGACTGCTTTTGTTTCTCCTGATTAAGTTCAAAGTAGAGATTGTGCAGGTTCTGCCTACTGCCACTGCTATTATGCTTGGTGCTATTGTTAGTCCTACCACTGAGATATGGAGCTTTTAGTTGATATGGGTGGTGGAACTGTGCTGAATGGCGCTGCTGCAGCTGCTGAAGAAGGTCAGCATTTGATTCTTGTAGTTCTTCTATGTCATTGGCCTGGCGGTGAATCTGAGCACAAGAAGTAAGACAAGCAAAATGTATCTGTTATTGCAATAAGAGAAAGATAAATAAAGTGAAACACAATAGAAAATATAATAGAGTTGATATTAAAAAGAAACCAGCAAAAGCAAAACACATCTAAACAAGATCTCTATATTTAAGCAGCATCTTCATATCTAAAAATCATATCGGACCTAGTAATTTCCCCAGGTCTCTGGGTAGTGAGATCGGAATGCTCGTGTGTATTGTTGCACAGGTAAAAAATCCCTTGGCAGTTGGAAATCGAAAAGAGTAGCCTAACAGCGCTGCTTGGACAAAATTTGGAGTTAAAAAAATACCCAAAATATTTCAAGATCCTCGCCAGTGCACTGAGTTACTTCAGACTCAGACTTAAGTTAGAAGTAGAATGTAGCACTTATGGGTTACTACACATGCGCCAATATGTTGATCCATTGTTCAAACATCAAACCAAATCAACATTTACAAGCGATGAGAACTAGGGTGACCGCAGTCGAGTTGGTATCTACACATATCTAAACAAGATCCCTATATTTAAGCAGCATCTTCCTATCTAAACATCTATACAACATATCTATATTTACAGGTGATGAGAACTGGGGTGACTGCAGTTAAGCTGGTATCTAAACACATCTAAACAAGATCTCTATTTGTAAGCATCTTCATATCTAAACATCCTATTTATATTTTCAAGTGATGAGAACTGGGGGGGGGGGGGGGGGGTGTGTGTGTGTGTGTGTGTGTGTGTGTTGCAGTCAAGCTGGTTTTCTAAACGTATCTAAACAAGTTACAAGTTATAAGAACTGGGGTGACTGCAGTCGAGCTGGTATCAAAATATGAATTCACTTAACTGTGTCGAGATGGAAAGCACACAAAAACAAAGAAACAATTTTATGTTTTGACCAAGGTCTTTTACCGATGAGCACCACAACAGCAAGAAACAGAAGAATCCTAGACATATGCTTTAGATACAGATATGTTTTTTGTTGTTGCTTAAAGTTGATTTCTTTTCCCTTTAGCGATGTAGCTTAAATTAGAAAGAAGATGGGAGAGCTAGCATCACTGCATCTACAATGGTTGTTTTATATGATGATGGCAGCTATACAAAACAGACACCTGGATAACTATCACACCTCATAAAAAAAAGAAAGAATAAATCTGCACTTGAAGCACCATTTTCTCAGTGAATCTAACAGTTAATTAAAATATGGAAAACTATTTGTCATATTTGGATTAAGCAACCTTTAAACAGCCCAACATGTTTCAAGTTGTTTGACAATTACCATTAAATAATGCATCACACAAACAATACATTGCACAATTTATTGCCAGGCATATTTCACTGTATCTTGTTAAGTGTGTTACTATCGAGTTACATAAATGAAAATGAATCACAAAACTGAATAAATCCAACTGAAATGCAAATAGTTTCTTCTGACACAAGTGTGGTTTTTTTGGGCAGCCAGAAGCTCACCGTAGTGATTACCATAAAAAAAAAAAATTTCTACAGGTCTTCACTTAACAATGAATTAGAGCTCCCAAGGCGAAGTTATACTGCTGACGTACCTTAACTTCTTGCTGTAAAATCTTGTCCTCCAAGACTTGCATGTTCTCTTGAGTAGTCTCAAGTGTGCCCATCAAAATCTCCTTTTCTCTCTGGAGATTCTCAATTTTTTTAGTCGACTCTCGCAGCTGACCACTCAAGTACTCAACCTGATGAAGAGATATTACATCAAATGTCGTTACAAATATGTCAAAGAAGTGCAGGCAGTAGAAATAGTCAAAGATGCACTTTATAAAATAAGAAAATTTTGTTTTAAATGTGAAAAGCTAACGATATGATAGAACAATAAGCAATCATTATCTATAATAGATAATAATTCTACACGGATGTAACACAATTATTTCTTAACATAACACAAAATTTTCTTTTACTCAGCTCATCTCAAATGTCCTAGTGATAAGAATTGTTGATGATTATATTTGGCTTTGTGAGACTCGCATATATTTTTATAGTATATAAAATGAGAGAACTCAATTATGACAGGAAGATAGTCAGACAATTAAAATCTGCCCTCACAACAAAGGCTGATTGGCACTGGATCTCTAATGCTTTCTGTCTCTAGTATAGGTTGTACACTGGCAGACTGCTGTTCATTCATTCCTACCTAAATGTTATCTTCCCACTTGTACTTCAGCTAGCCTGCCTTTGTCTGTATCCTCCATTAAAGGTTTTATAGACATGTTATAACTATGATGATGAAGGAAAGCAGCCACCCTGAAATAGTTAACAATGGACACCCTTCAGTCAGTTACTGCTACAGGAATACCTTTAACTGCACACATCTAGGAATGTAACATAAATATTAGAGTTGAGCTGATCGAAGAACTGACGTCACAGCACTTGGGCCATTTCCATAAGCACTCCGTCTCCCTCTTCAGCAGTACCAACACCAATGGGGCCAGTAGCGGTCTCAATATATGTCCATCTTGCCTTTCCTCTGAGTGTTGAGTATTATCATTTCACATTATACATATTTCTTTCACCAACTCTCTTTGTAGCCTAGCTCTATATTTGTTCAACTATTGCTTCAGTGGATACCTTCACACTGTGGTATCCCTTGAAATTAAAAGGCAGACAAGCTTGCAAAGACTGCTGGGAACCTACAGCAGCTCCACCGATCTCAGAGCCTTAAAGAGACAAAAAGTAAAGGACCCTTTTCCCTGCCTTCAGGAATATTTGCCGCATAGAGCTAGACCTACATTTTATAGATCAAGTGGAAAGTGGTGTGGTAAAAAATCATGCTGGCCACCTTTGCTTCCCAGGACTTTACCTGGTACCTATTTATAGAAAAAAAGGGAAAAAATGGTGCCGAAAAAGTACACTCAGCAACCAAAAAAAGCAAACTGTTAAGTCACAGACAATTCTCTGTCCAGTGTCAATTAGCAATTTCCGGTTCCAGCCTTAGAGTTTGTTCAAAGTTTAAAAGCCTGCCCAACAGAATAAAACTGATTCTCACAAAATTACATACTGTCAGAAATAACATGACAAACCAACTAAATGTGCCACTCGTAGACATTACAGAGTACATGATCTGCAACTTCATGTGCTGTCATACCATGACTAACTCACTATTAAGAGATGCCAGATTTATGTTAAAGTGCATGATTTTTGTTTCTGTTTAAGAGTAGTTACAAATAATAAAATAGTTATTCAAAGTTCATTATTGCTACTTCTGGCTCTAAATCCATACTGATGTAATAGATGGTCACAAATAAAAGATTTAAAATGTATATAAAAGGAGAGAAAGATATGGGGCAAAGGCTATGAAAGACTACTGACTAGCCCAAATACTGGTTCCCCTGCCTTAAAGAGTGAATTAATCTAACCAACTGTTATCCTGGTCTCTTGTATCACACTGTAGCTAGATGTCCTTATGATGGTCAAGATATTATAAACTTGTGTGTCAGGTCAAGAGTTTATAAACTTGTGTGTCAGGTCAAGATTTTATAAACTTGTGTGTCAGGTCAAGATTTTATAAACTTGTGTGTCAGGTCAAGATTTTTATAAACTTGTGTGTCAGGTAAAGAGATTATAAACTTGTGTGTCAGGTCAAGAGATTATAAACATGTGTGTCAGGTCAAGATTTTTATAAACTTGTGTGTCAGGTCAAGAGATTATAAACGTGTGTGTCAGGTCAAGAGATTATAAACGTGTGTGTCAGGTCAAGAGTTTTATAAACTTGTGTGTCAGGTAAAGAGTTTGAACTTGTGTGTCAGGTCAAGAGTTTATAAACGTGTGTGTCAGGTCAAGAGTTTAAACTTGTGTGTCAGGTCAAGAGTTTTATAAACTTGTGTGTCATATTTCAACTGCATCATTCCAACAAAAGCATTTCCAGGTCTGCCATACTATACACAGCCCAGGTTATTTCTCTTCAATGCCTCACAAGAGTTGTCGTCTTCTCTTCAAGAGACCTACCCCAGTGAAGTGTTGGGGACTGGCAGGTCAGCGGGAAGAGAAGTAAGGATCTTCTGTGTGTTCTTTCTAATGTGATTGATTCTGTGTGTTTCTGACAGTTGTTCACCGTTTGCACTGTCTTTACCTTGCTCTGTGCTTATTATATTTCTTCAACTCTCAGTGGCTGCAGTACAAGGAGACATTCTTGCCATGTGGCCAAACAATCTCACTCACTGTTTTTCAATTAATTGTATGAATTATTAATACAAGGACATTCTTGTCATGTGGCCAAACAATCTCACTCACTGTTTTTTAATTAATTGTTGATACAGAAGGTGCTTTTTCGTGTGGTTTACCACACTCCGAACAGGAGACTGTTGAGAATCGCTGAAGCTTTAACAACTAAAATCAACAAACCCCTTCTTTGTAAGCTGACGGAATTTATTGTAAATTTGAAGTTACCCTGGTAGGTCACGTGACTACGTTGAGCTTCTGGCGGCCAAATAACACACACAATGTGTCGGAAGAAACTATTCCCGTTTCAGTTGGATTTATTCAGTTTTGTGCTTTATTTTATGTTGATGTAACTCTGTAGTCACGCACCTGATGAGATACAGCGGAATATGCCTGGCAATAAAATGTGTAATGTATTGCTTGTGTCCGCATTATTTAAATTGTAGGAACAATTAATACAAGGACATTCTTGCCAGATGGTCACAATCTTATCTCTTAAAAACAATAAATATTGTTGCCACAGTCTTCTAATTTCCTTTCTGGTACTTTATCCTTCCCCTAGCTGTTCTAAGACATTTGTCTCATCTTTGTTATTATCATTTTCTGCTTTCAAGTTAAAGTAAGGGTCTTTGTCTGGCATAAGGGAACCACAGCATAAAAGTCTGAAAGAAATTAAAAGATAGCTAGACATTTCAGCAATCTGTTGCCTCAGGCAAACAGAACAAATATCAAATTATCAAAGACCAGCCATACAACCACATAAAAGACTTCAATGGGTAAACATTATCAAACCTGATCTCTCAACATTGAAATGTGATCAATCTGGTCCTGTATCGTGGCACAGTGGGACTCATTTTTCATTTTCTGTTGATCTAATTCTTTCATCAGCTCCTCCTCTCTCAAAGATGCCTAAACAAAGAAAGTTGACAAGGACACTCAAGTCATTTATAGACATCACAACACACACTGTAATCTTAGAAAGAAAAACAAAAGCACAGACATCATGCTAGAGAAAGCAATATTTATACAAGTGACATATGTGGGACGATGCTTAATACAACACACATATGAAACAACAGTCAACATAGCCCACATGGCGTGCCCACAAGTGTCTAGGTACAGTTATGATTTGTCCTCAAGTTCTGTAAGGATCACAGACAAACAGGATGGGCATCCTACTAAATATGATACCAAATGGCAACTGTCAAAAATAGACCAAGGCCTCACTTGACCATCACAACAAGGTTTGTTTGACACACCACATGATGACAGTCGATGGCAATGGAAATGTAATGCAACGTCTACCAACCATTCAAAAATTAGTCATGGGGATCAGGCACTTCCCTCAAACATGCCAGTACATGGGGATCAGGCACTTCCCTCAAACATGCCAGTACATGGGGATCAGGCACTTCCCTCAAACATGCCAGTACATGGGGATCAGGCACTTCCCTCAAACATGCCAGTACATGGGGATCAGGCACTTCCCTCAAACATGCCAGTACATGGGGATCAGGCACTTCCCTCAAACATGCCAGTACATGGGGATTAGGCACTTCCCTCAAACATGCCAGTACATGGGGATCAGGCACTTCCCTCAAACATGCCAGTACATGGGGATCAGGCACTTCCCTCAAACATGCCAGTACATGGGGATCAGGCACTTCCCTCAAATATGCCAGTACATGGGGATCAGGCACTTCCCTCAAACATGCCAGTACATGAGGATCAGGCACTTCCCTCAAACATGCCAGTACATGGCCGATGAAGTTGGACTGGATACTTAGTATTACAGTAAGCACATACTCTGCAGTCACATGACACACTGGCCGTCACCAATCACAGTCCCGGTGATGTGCTCAAGCAAGCTGTAAGAAAGACCAGGACGCTCCTAGGATAGAGTTCCATCCTGTGACACATTTCTAGATTCCCCTCTCACACAAGTAGCACAATAACTGTAACATTATACACCCAATCTGGCAACAGTATTTAGGCTAACTATGCTATAAAACACATGCACTTGGCCAAACTACTAGGGTATAACAGCAAATTAATACTTCATTACATGTCTGAAGAATTTCATACTAATACTGGCATAAAGTCTGTGAATGTTAGCCTCTACCAATCTGAAGAATGAAACGCAGGTATGCTCATTTCAATGGATTGGCCACAACTTCCCAATTCAAACCATATCTGAGCATTTTTACTAACACTGTCTTTCATGTTTGGCTCGTGATATCTGCTTCTTCACAGCTGCCCGGTGGACAGCACTTTTGTCAAACTCAGTATTTATGAGGCACTAATATTCATAATGTATTGGAATCTACGTTTCATATTATCAACTCCACTCATTTTAAGTTTCTCTCTTTCTCTCTCATGCGTGACCATACCTATATACGATAACAATCCATTTAACCAAAGGAATGTGAAAACGTTTCATCAAATAAATAAATTCTTCTTCTGCCTTTGATCTTTAATTCTTTCCTCCATATTTTTTTTTTAGATCTGTTCCTTTATCAATCTATTAGTTACACCATTAAATGTCTTCTAAATGTGTATCCTCTCTGTCTTCTATCCATAAAATGGTGGCTGGCACATTATGATCTGGCTCACAGCTAGGCTGTGATATGTGAACCTTCTGGCACAACACATCCATTTTAGCGAATATTTATGACATGCTTATCCCTTACCCCCCAATGGAAACACTTAACCCACACCTGCACAGTGGGAGTAATTCTTTCCAGCCAAGCTACTTTCTAGCTTTTGATTTACCAAGATCTGTTTAGTTCTCACATAAAGTTTCACACTAGTGATCCTGTCATATTGTTTGTAACTACCTCTTTTCTATACAGATAGTGGTTAATTAAAGGTTGTGGTTTATTATAATTAATGTTGGTTCCCTGTGTTTCTACCCGAACCGCTATAGTCAGATACCAGTCGGGACAATAGATTAAATATTCTTATTTTTATTTATACAAATTATCCAGCGGTATGAAGGCCATGTTTGATTTCTGTATTCTTGATTAATATCTCTATCTGTCTGTTCTCCCTCTTTCCTCAATTTATCTTAATTTCTACCTAAACATGTATATGACCCCACTTGCTAAGTAAGATTTCACCAAAGGTATTAGAAAAGGACATGATTTGCTTAATTTATTCTCAATATCACCATCATTCTACTTTTCACCGACGGCTCTGCTACAGATGCAGTCAGAAAAGGGGGTTGTGGAATTTACATTAAACCCCCTTGCAGTAGAGCAGAAACTCTCTCTCTACCAGCAGGTGACATCTGCACTAACTTCAGAGCTGAGGCAACTGCCCTCCTCTCTGCAGTCCAACATCTCATCACTCAAGAACACAGAGGGCACCAGATTGTTATACTTAGTGACTCATTGTCTGTTCTCCAAGCACTATCCAGCAAAAAACATGACAAACTAATTGCTGATCTAAGGACCAACATTGGCTTACTTTCCAAGGAAGCAGAACTGGTCTTGCAGTGGATACCAGCCCACTGTGGTATTCAAGGAAATGAGAGAGCAGATGAGTTGGCAAAAGCTGGGAGTAATCTTCCACAACCTAATCCACCACACAGCTACAAGGAAACCAAAACAGCGCTAAAGCAGTCTTTCAAGCGGGAGTGGAGAAGGCAGAATGGTGATTACAGACCAGAGGGTGACAGCATAAACATACTCAACAGGAAAGAACAAACATCAATTTTTAGACTTCGGACTGGACAATGTAGTCTTCGAGCACACTTGTACAGGATAGCCATAACAGAATCTGCTGCCTGTGATTGTGGAGCAGAAAGACAAACCCCAGAGCACATACTGCAGTACTGCCCTAACCTCTCCCAGCAAAGACTGTGGATCTGGCCCAAAGGAGCCACATTGCAAGAGAAGCTATGGGGAACCGGTGGCGACCTTAAACGCACAATCCTATTTGTGACCCAGACGGGACTCAATGTTTAGCATGACTGATATCGAACGCAGAAGAAGAAGAAGAACCATCATTCTATTATAATTTTTTTAGACCTAATGACCTCTGACCAAGTGTGTAATTGCATCTGAGGTAGACAATGTCATCAGTAAGGTCCAGATAATAAATTAACTTAATTTTTTTTTAACAGAATAAAAATAATACAGTGCAAAAATACTTGCTAATACTAATAATTCGCAGAATGCTGAGAAAATTTTACCTTTTTGACCTGTTCCAGCAAAAAATCTGAGTTCTGCTGTGCCTCGCGTAGTGACCTTGACCGTACTCTCTCTGACAGCTGAAGCTCATCATTAGCTCTAGCCTGTTTCCGAAGTGTGGATATGTCGTCTTGCAAATCTTTGATAGTGTTCTGATATTCTGTCTCTAGTTTTTCCAACTCAAGGTGAAGGCCATATTTTTCCTGCTGCAACTCCTAATATGAAAATTTCAAAATATTATTTACATTGGCAATATGTAACAATAATAACAAGAAGTATAAGGAAAAGCACTGAAATTTCATGGTATGGATATTAGCCGAATAAATTTCATGTGAAATACAACGAATGTCCAACTAGTAATGGCATCACTGAATGCCCAGATAATTGCTGAAACCACAGCTGACATCAAGACAAATTAAATCTATTAGTAGGATGTAGTACTGGAGGAGGGGGGTGGGGGAGGGTTCAGAAAATGGTGTAACACTGCTCTATAGAGACATGGAATCCCAGTCCCAAAAAAAATCAAAGAACACTCATATATTTTGTTCCACTGTCAGAAAGTTACAGGTGAAAGTCACATGTAAACACTCATAACAAGAAGAAGGCACACATATAACCACAACCTACCTCAATTTTGTGGGTATATTCATCCACCACCTGGTCGTAGCGTGACTGAAGTTCTTGATTTGAGTCCAACAAAGCTTTGCCCAGCTCTGCAGCAAGAATCAAATCTCGCTCTTTCTGAGCCAACTGAGCGTAGACATCTTCTTCCTCAGAAAAAAGCTGGGCCCTGGGCAGCTCAGTTTCCTGATCACTGCTGTCCATTGAGTGAGGCAACTCCCTCTGTTCTGACATGACTGATGTCTACATCTGGACCTATATTTGAGACATTACATTTGTTCATATTAACGACATCTAGTCAATACACCTTACAAGACTGCTAAAATAGCTAGGACGCTAGTCAAAAAGATGTATGAGTTCAGAAAGTTCACACAAAGTGAATAAAATGGGTAGCGATTTACTGTCTTCTTTTCTTTTATCCTCCAGTCAGAATATCTTATATCAGGAGGCCAGCAGCCTATTGTGCTATCCTGTGTCCCACTGAGTTTTTATTGAGGCTGGAACTTATCAGATGGCCTTTCTGTTAGTAGCATATATCCTAGTGTTTGAGTACACACGCTCAGCATTTTCAGATGCCAAGTTGCAGGGACACATTTCCATGTCTCCCATACCATAAAATTTAAACATATGTTGGCAAAGTCTGTTGTCTACTCTGTCCTTAGTCTGAATATAATACACTGATCCTCTCTAGAGAGGTGAAATAGCAAGTCAGAGAGTAACAATTTTGTGCAGGTATGTAGCCACCTTCCTTGAAATATAGTTTTGATTAATGGTGGGTTAAGTCACTATCTGACTGCACCATGTCTTGCCAGACTGCCTACTATCTCACTGCCTTTCAAGTCACCATGACCTGGAATCCATTGCAGGAAAGATTGTGTTAAAGCAGAGGACAGCCTTTGTGAATCAGCAGATGCTTAAAGTTTACAAGCTGCGTGTCTTTTGGATTAACAATTACCTGTAGAACCGATTTTGCATCAGAAAAGACCACTCTGCTAGATCTGCTTAGCTGCTGTCTGTTCAAGAACATGACACCAGAAGTGCATCTGCCTCTGCTCTGTAGTTGGAAGAATGTGAACCTGTAGGTGTTGACAGTGCAATTTTTAAACCATTTGGGCATTTTTTTTTTTTTGGCACTCTTCGAATACAGGTCCCAAATTATCCAGTTTAAAAAAATCCCATTCAGGGCCTCAAGAGGTCATATATTTAAAGATCTGGAACAGGAACACTATGAACTATGCTTCACATGATTTCATTTGAATCAACATGTCAGGGCGGTTGGCAAGTTGTGTTGTGGTTTACAGTTAGGCTGCGATATCTGCGCCTTTCGCCCCAACACATCCGATTTTAGCAAAGTCCTAATTAATCGCCCTCAACAACATGCTTTTTAGGCAGTAAGTCTATTCTTTTTTTTCCCTCCAATATGTGGCTCCGGAACCCACAAGGTGAGTCACGGGTAATGTGAACAATGTATCAAAAACCATTCCTCCCCACATCGCTTGAATGGATCGAAAACTTCTCCTCCCCACGTCACTTTATCAATGGATCAAAATCTATTCCTCCCCATGATGCTTCAGTGGATCGAAAACTATTCCTCCCCATGACGCTTCAATGGATCTAAAACTATTTCTCCCCACAGCGCTTATCTTAACGTCTAAACATTGCTATCCATTAATCAGTAACGGCAGAAGTGGAAACTGATGATGACGGCCTACATGTTTTTACTGCATAACCTCTTGGGGCTCTCAAAGGGGTGTTTTTCACAGTAAATAATTTGGGACCGGTATTCGAGTTTTCGGATGAGTGCCGATATTGTAATTAAATAGTTAATGGGTCACTGAATCATTTTAAACCTTCCTTTTTGTTTGAATCCTAATGATAAACAATGGTGATCTGTCTCTGTCAAAACTGTTCTAATTATAGGCTCTCCTCCGAACTTCATCCTAATATTATGGCGCCCATAAAATATCCTTACGGGGCTCAGGCATATGCGGACTTTCTGCAAAGGAACAAATCGCGGCAAAACTGGGATTACTTGACAATTTCAAGAGACGCAACATTGCAGACGATAAAAGCGACTTGACAATTTCGATCGTTTCTGCAGTCAATACTAGCAGACGATAATAGCAACCATTGACAATTTCGAGACATTACAGACGATGAAAGTGATATGGCGGGTAGACCACACGCTCCCACGCAGATTAGTAATACTGTTCTTCCAATTGAGGATTTAGCAGCGGTAGATGTCAGACCTGCCGACCTGTATCCTCACACTTTTCGGCATGCGCAAAACGCGATTAAACTCACCGCCAAGCGTATTCCCCACGCCACAAAGCGCGGCGTTGATGGGGGGGCTAAATTAGGTGCCTAAGACTCACGAGCAAATTAATTGGAGGAAGTTGCAGGCGATGCGGTAGCTGCTGCTGAGTCCCAGCCATTTAGTTTACCCCCCCATCCGTGCCACGTGTAGCAGCGCTGGGGATACGCTCGGCGGTGAGGCACAGTCACAGAAACAGGTCCGCAAGTAACATATCGCTGAGACCCTGTTAGAGCATTTTTTTTGTTATACGGAGCCGGCATATTTTTAATAGAACTGAGCCCCATAAGGATATTTTATGGCCACCATAATATTAGGACGAAGTTCGGAGGAAAGCCTAATTATCATTAGGTAACAGATTCCCAGGATTCTGTACTTCTTTGGTACTGATACCTGCTTAGTAGTTCACTTTTCTATATCTTTTTTCTTATTGTTTACGTTCTTCCCAACTATTAAATTTAAGACTGCTTTTTTATTCTTCTAGTACTGTTACTGGCTTTCTGGGCAATTACTTTGCTCACCAGAATATAGTATTAATTGTTGGAGTTAACCAACACAATTGCAATAACAATAGAAATTAGATGGTAACAAGGTCCATAAGTAGGTCAATAATTTGTGGTGCATTTAAACTGAAAATTTGCAGTGGCTCTTATCTTTGTATCTCATGAGATAAATAAAATACAAAACGTGTTTATTAAAAATACCACAGAACTGAATGGACATCACAATGGCTGTTTACTCACGCAATGGTGATTCTTTCATCTATATATCAACGTATCTTGTGGGTAGGTGTGGAAGAAGGTATTAGAAAATATCCCATTAGGACGAAACATAATTCAGACAGATGCCGTCACAAAACAATACGGACAATCATCGACACTGCAAATCAATAACGAAATAAAACGAAGTTGAGCAGGAACAACATCTTTGTGCTTGTAGCTATGTCTGGTTACATCGCTTGTTGTTCCGACGGCAGGACAGGAAATCGCGTAACAGAATAATAATGTAAATCAATATTTAAATACTTCATCACATTAACGGATGTTCTATATATCCACAATGGCATAACAACCGTCTGTCATTGTTTACAATTTGTGTTAATACGAATAGCGATTGTTTTTCTCAAAATGTGAAACGCAAGTATTCTTAGTAATAGTAATTAGTAAGTTGAGGATTAATGCATCAGAACGGTGAGCGTCTTTGTCGGCTTGCTTTGTAGTGTAATTATTCCGTGTATATTCTGTGACATCCACGTTTTACAATTGCCCTACTTCTGCGCAGACAAGATGGCGGGTGAAGTTGTTGTGGATGCGTTGCCTTATTTTGATCAAGGCTATGATGATCCAGGTGTTAAAGAAGCGGCTATAGCGCTTGTAGAAGAAGAAACTCGGCGATACCGGCCGACGAAAAATTATCTTGATTACCTGCCCAATCCAAACTACCATGCTTTCGAAACTGAAATCATTAAGAATGAAATGGAAAGAGTCCAGGTGAGTGGCAGAAAGAGACGGACATTTTCTCATTCTCTCATTCATTTATTCTGATTCTGAAAGAGTTCGATTTGAAAGAATGAAATTGAAAGATACAATTGATAAATAAGTCATGTACATTTTTCTGGCCGTTATGTGTAAAGGTTGTTTTTAAATGTGCCTAATCTAACTGAGAGAATTACATGTGCAATGGTACTTCTTCAACATCAGTGACTGTGACTTGAGTGACTTAGTCACTGACTAACTATTAGAACCAAGACAAGACAAGAGACTCAGACTTGAAGATCTGACTGTCATGTCAGATCCCATTTCATTGCAGCTATTCACTAACTGCTGACTTTTATTGTGTGTGGAGAAGGCACCAGATTGATGTGATATTGATCATAAATTAATAATAATAATAGTATTAATAGCACTAGAACTAACTGACACAGTACACTGAAGAAAATACCTTTTCACTAATTAATTAATATTTATTCTCTTTGTTACAAAGTTTGTACCTACCAGCTGTCATTTAAGGACTATTGTGTTACTGTGTATGCATTCTTTCTTGTGATTATGTACATCTGCCCATATGATAATAATAGTAATAGAGCAGAGCTATCCCTCATCAGAGCTTGACTCAGTCAGTGACTGAGACAAGTCTACTTTTGCTACTTTCACATAAATTTGGTCAGTATGAAATTATGTTTAGTTGTTCTTCTATAGTCGTTTATCCGTTATCGTGTTGTTCGGCATTAAGTATTAAGTAAAGACTTTCAGCGCCATGTTGTTTTCAGACACTTAGTAACTTGGTAAAGCATTCTGTATTTTTATGATTTTAACCACACTTCTAAATAAATCTAATGACCAACACATGTTATTAAACAGAAAGAGTTGGAAAAACATTCATAATTTATACTTTTTTTTTAACACTGCTGAATGGTGGGATTCGCTGTGGCGTTGGTGGCTAGATGCCCGCCTGCGGATCGGAAATGGTGAAAATATTGGGATGACTGCAGTCAAGCTAATACAAGGAATTCCAGAGAAATTTTCAAACAAAAGTGAACTACACAAACGTAACAACAAAGAGATGAGGGTATGTAGATCTCTAAGGGGTGACGTGAGCTACGTTTAAAAAAATGTGGTGTGGAATAAATGAAATAAAATAAAACAAACGATAGCTAAAAAATATAGTCACAAAAAATAATAAACAGTAGTATTGTTACTATACAATATAGTACTGGGAATAAAAGAAATACAAATGTTAATGATATATAAATGATACTGACTGATAAGAAATAGAATAAAGTAATAATATAAAATAAAAGTGAAGAACATAAAATAATTAACATTTAAAATGTCATAAGAGTAGAACTATTTAGATGAAGGTATGTTGGATATTGATACCACCTGAACTAAGAACGCCTAGGCTATGGATGAGGCGATTTTCTAAAGCGAGGCGCATAGTATGATTAAAACCTTGCTCTGGTGATCATACTATGCGCCTCGCTTTAACAAGATTGTGACCGGTACCATCAGTATTGGAACTCTGCACTGGCTGCTGAAGATGAGGACGGAGCATGCGTGGGAATGGCCCGAGTGCTGTGATGTCAATTCTCATCTCAACTCAACTTAACATAAGCTAGAATTTCTTGTAATATTGAAGTTGGTAATATACAGTCCTATTTTTTTGTTTGTGCTAGTCTTCTGAGATTTGTAATTTCTACTGACATATAGCTGACTGTTCTATTCCTGATTTCATTGTTACATGATAGTACTTACTTACTTAGTCGCTCCTCTTCTACCTTGGGGTGTAGAGGTTTGCCAGAGAGATCGTCAGATGTCTCTATCAGCAGTTTTCTTTCTGGCTTTGTTCCATTCCAGTCCTCTGTCAGTTAGGGACTGTCGGATGTTGTCTTCCCAGTGCACCCTGGGTCGTCCTGGAGGTCTGGTTCCCTGGTTCGTAGCCTCCCATGCCTGTGGTGGCCGATTTTCTCCCATTCTGCATACATGTCCAAACCATCGTAACTGTGACTGATCCACTCGGGTTTGTAAGGACTGGGTATCAAGATCTTGACGTATTGTCTGACTGCGGACTTTGTCCCTTCTTGTCACTTGGACCACCTTTCTCAGATATCTCATTTCCGAGGCCTGCAACTGGCTTCTGTGAGCTGTTGTCATTGCCCATGACTCACACCCATAGGTCAGGACTGGTGCATAGGTAGAGCGATAAACAGCCATTTTCGTCCTCTTGCCAATTTCTTTTTTGCTAAGAAACCCTCGGTTTATGGCCTGGAAGAGTCTCCCAGCAGCTGTTTTTACATGATAGTTTCAGAAACAAATAATCTGTTGCAGGCACGTCTCCCAATGGACATGATGAGTATGAAAAGATATGAGCTTCCAACTCCTCCTGCTGGGAAAATGACAGATGTCACCGCCTGGCAGGAATGTGTGGATAACTCTCAGGCCCAACTGGAACATCAGTCTTTGCGAATCCTTAATCTGGAACTGATGTCTGAGTATGGGGCCTCTGCTTGGCGGTCATACAACTCAGTACTCACAAATATGATTGATCAGGCTCAAAAACATTTGCAGGTAACTGATTGTCTAGTGTCCCAATGGTGTAATAGCAATGCTGATCAGTTAAAGTGAGACTAAGGTAGTTATTTTCTACTGAGTATTGTAAAAAAGGTAAATGTAAAGCCGGGAGATGTGAACCAGCGTCATTGCACACGGTTATAAACCATAAGTGCTCTGCCACCAATACGGACAGCTGATAAGAAACTGTCCCCATGTGTCGCTGTCCACACGAAAATCTGTAGCTGCAGCGACATTCCTCCATTTACCCCAGAGTGTTAACTCTGGTACCCATTTCCTAAAAGCTGGATGAACTCCTGGAACTGCTCGATTTTGAACACTGGCCGTCGGCTGAAGCGAGTCACAGCTGGATTTGAAAGCAAGTCTCCTATTGACTGCACTAATGCGGCCCCTGACTAGGTATTTAAACAGACATATGTTAAGTAAATTTATGTTGAGACAGTATTGTGCAATCCAAGGTGCAGATTTTTCCTAAATAAGGGACCAACAAATCCTCTAATGAAAGAAGAAAATCCATGTCCACATGGAATAATCCTTGAAAATTAAAAAAAAAAAAATAGGCTTCTGCTTGGACTAAATTTCAAAATATGAAACCTACCGGAAATAAAATTTACTGGCAACATGGTCTGTTATAACTTGTTATTTTGATATGTTTTATGGACACTTGAGGGAGTCCTATCCCTGGATTGCTAAATGGTTTATCATTATAGCAGTCTTGAATATTGAATTTGTCTTTTGTATAGGCTTTTTGGAGCTTTTAGTTTTGCTGGACTTCTTTGGGGTTAATTTTCATTGGAACAGTTTCCTGAAAATATTCTTATTTATGGGGGAGAATTGCAAAAAAAAAAAAAACATATATATCTTGAGATCTTCTTGAAGTGCTGGGTAAAGTGGATGACTGTTGCAGGATGATGGGTTCCAACATCAATCCAAATAAATCATTAGTGTTCATTTAATAATACACTTGTTAGGGATGTCATCCTGTACAACACTAAATGGTACTCCTACCAGCAGAGTAAATTCACTCAGATGTCTGGAAATAACCTTTGTCTACCTGAAGACAGTCTGTCTGGAACTATGAGGCAAAGATCAAGAAGGAAGGGTAATGACATGGCAGATATAGAGCAGAAAGAATTCTTGCTCAGTCAGCAAATTAATTTGGTAAACTACTCACTGTATTTCATAGTCAACTAGTAAAACTGTAATGCATACAACATTAGGCTTTATGTCTTTGAAGGCTGTACAAAGTAGTCAGATCATACTTACCTTGCCCACACAAGCAGAGATGTAACTTAGTGTTGCAGCAGCCAGGAAACACTTTCTACATAAGGGTTTCCAGAAGGACAAGAGATACAAGCTGAAGAGAGTTTACTCTTAGAAGGCCTAAGCAGATAATACAATCTGTTATGTTAGTGAAATTGACAAGACAATACATGACAAGGAATGGACTCAAGTGCAGCTCAACTATAAAGTTGTGATTAGCAGTCTTTTTCTTGTTGAAATATATATTGCCGTCTTTTTTTTTTTGTTTAAAGGATTTGCGCAAGAAGATTCAGGAGATAAACTGGCAACGAAAGACAGAACAGACCCAAGCCGGGGAGAAGCTGAGAGACCTTGAAACAAGCTGGGTTGGGCTTGTCAGCAAAAACTATGAAATTGAAAGAGCTTGTGCAGAAATTGAAAAGGAGATTACAGAAGCAGAACAGAAGCAGGCAAGAAAGGGAAGGAAAAGACCTCATGATGATTCTTGAATGTTTGTAACAAAAACTTTCATTTCTACAAAACTATGCTTGATTTGTATATATAATACCGTCCACAAAATGAGGATAGCTCTTTGGTTGTTCTTATATGGAAATAGGCAAACTGGTGGGGTGAATGTGTGTTGCTGAGCCCTCGCATGTTCAAGGTGAGCCAGCTCTCTACTTTGGGCTGTGAGAAGATGTTTCTGCGGGGGTTGCATTTCTTATTCATGTTGAATAGTTGTTTGCAGAAAATTAAATTCTGACACATTGATGTGTTTTATGAATTGTTAATGCTGTTTGTCTTATGTTTTGTTTGCCCAGTTTGAATGTGTGAACTGTCTTACAAGACAGGACATGAACACTACAGACCAGGCAGCACTGCAAAGTGCTGTCTCATAGATTAGTGAGTCACAGATGTCCATTACAGAAACAAGAATATCACTGTTGTTTTATTCTGTCCCATAATTCCATGTGTAGATCATTGGGAGAAGGGCTTTCTGATCAGTATCTTTGAGTAATGTTTGACTAAAGCAAAGATGTAAACGTGGTTGTCATGTAGCAGTTTCTTTGTTAGTCGCTTGCATATCCCCCTGCCTCGTGTCATTTTATGCCCAAAAATGTCGCCAATGTCCTGTGGTCACCTCTATGTTGGTTGACCCTTGCCTCTTCCAGGGGTCATTGGCTTCTATTATTCATCTTGTTACCCCACTGAGGTGTTTAACATGGCTGAAGTATTGAAGTTTCCAGAACAAAATGCTGCTTTATAAGAACCAGTTGTCTTTGATGTTCAAATCTTGTAGAATCTCAAGTATATTTTTGTGGTGTTTTAATACTTTAACAGTCTTGTAGCCTTTCTATTAATGTTTTTGGTCCAGGGATGATTAATTTTCAAATAAACACACACAGAGACCGTTAGAAACCACAAAGCCCAAATACTGTTCAGTCTATATTCCAAAACATACACACAAACAGAATTATCTCTCTCACCTATGCACAGTCATTCATTAATTTAAAAACACACTGAGATCAGTTTTACTTTGTTATATTTTTCCCTCACTTTACATATTGCCTACATAAAAGACATTAACATACCAATCCCAACCGTTCCACTGTCTCACACATCATATCTTCATCAGCAGACACATTATGCAACAAAATAAATTACTGCCATTGGTTGTCATTTTCAAAGTAAAAGCAACACAATAAAACTAATACAAAATCAAAACGATCAGAAATTAGTATCAAGTCCTTAACCCAAGATGGACCAACAGGGTTCTCAGTGTAAATGTTGACAATGTTAGGGTGCCAAGGTTGCTATAATCCCCTTCTATACTGCCCTCAAAAGTGGTACTTTAAGCAGTAAACACAGTTGGTATACCACCTCCTGATCTTAGGGTGGTAGATCAGGTGCCTAGCCTTCTCAGATTAGGATGAAAGGTCATCAGGTCTACTGTGCAAGTTTTTAAAAAAAGCTATGGAGTTATAAACAACTGAAATATTAAGAAATAACAAATAAGAACAATCATCACAACTCTTGAACACTAATTCCTTGTCTCACTATAAAGTGTGAGGTGTCGCAGCTCAACTGATACAAATTAATTTGATCATAGAAAGAAAGGAGGAAAAGACTTATTTGGAGCACCATGTTGCTCAAGAGCACACACAGATACTGCTCATATAAAAAGAAAAATGCTAATTCACTTTTACATTGCTTTAGTATGGACGAGTTCTCTCCATGATCTCCAAAAAAGACTTACAGCTGGTGTTTATAATATGGTTATTCAGCGAAAACCATGTCACCGTTGAATTTGACACACTGACGACTGCTCCCACTTCATCACACCACTTGCTTATGTAGTCAAGTTCTGTCTGAAGGCCCTCAGCAACATGCTCCCGGTCTCTACCTTGTTGGAACACCAAAACATCAGCAGCATACAATAGTCTCCTTCCCGGTCCCGTGATCTGCTCGCCTGTGATTCTCATGGTTTAATGTTAAGATGTCAGAAAAAGAATACTAAAATGTTTTGTAGAACCTATACTGCTGTATGGTAGTGAATCATGGAATGTGAATGCACAAATTAAGAAGGCCCTGGAGGCAATGAAGATGTGGTTTTTCAGACGAATGTTAAGTATCCCTTGGACTGCCAGAGTAACTAATGAGGATTGCTTGAAAGAAGCTAATGAAAGCAGATCAATATATACAGCTATAAGGAACAAACACTGTTCTTTGGTCATGTGATGAGGGGGGAGGTTATGGAGAATAGTGTAACAACTGGGAAGATCAACGGTAGAAGAGGAAGAGGCAGACCAAGAGAGATGATGACAGATTGATTGCGACCGTGGCATGGAGGGATATCATCGGTGGAACTGAACAAGGGAAAGATCTATGGAGATGCATGAACGCCTATGCCAGTTGGCAGGGCACATGATGATGATCTTTTCCAAAAGCTTGCCAATTGTATTCTACACTGTGATTACACGGTAGCCCTGTATTGTGTAATGTTGTATGGTCTTTATTAGGCTTCGGCAAAGGTATCAGATAACCGTGCAGCCACTTTTCATCGACTGTCGCACTTTCAGTACTGCTGTTATAGATACTTGCCAAATACTCAAACTTTTTGTTAGACAGCTGAGAAAAATCTCATAGTGGATACCATTTTGACACGGTGCACAGTTTTTTGCCTGTCTTAACACAGCCTTGATTTCACCCATATACACACAATCTGTTTCCTCCAACTTGGCGCCTTATTATGTCAGTTTGGTCACTCTGCTCGAGGTAGTGAGCAAGTTGAGCCATGCTTTATTGCTCATCAGTTCTGTGTCAAGTAAGATCACCACTCTGGAAGGCACTTGCTTTTAGATGCACTATTCATACTTCTATGCAGGCGCTAGAACCATTTTAGTGATTTGTCTTTGCACACCATCATGCAGAACTCTGCCCATGTCTCGTTAGCAATTTTAGCCAGAGATTTGAAACAGGCCGTCTTCTCATGCATGACTTGTTTCAACAGATGAATGTGGTCAGGTAAAGCAGTTCTGCATTTGTTCTCATGTGTGCCACTGTTTGACGGCTTGCCATCTGTTGTGTAGTCCAGTTCTGGTCTCTAAAGAGTCAGTACCATCGCATCTTACTTCAGAACAGACATGCTGATGCCAGGCAAACCCATTTGCAACAGAAAGATTTATAACAAAATTCAAGAACTGTCATGAAGCAGCTAGTCACAAGATCTTGTTTAGAGCAAAAAGAAAACACCATACTTGAGTATATCTGCAACCATTGTGTCAATCAGAGGTGTTGGATGTTGACTGTCGAATATACAGCACATCCACAAATGGCATAGTGACTTTCAAGCTGGCAACGAACAGTGCAATCACAAGAAATTAAACAAATTCAAAAAGTAGATAGTGCCAGCTTTGCAAGAAAATGATCACAGTAAAGGAGAAAAGCCTTCATCAGCAAATAAAAACCAATAACAAACAGAAAAGAAATATTTAAAAAATATTTACAACAGGGCATGATATTTAAAAACGTACAATAAAATATGACTGAAGTAACATGTAAGGTATCTGGCAAACGGAAGAAAACTTCCTTCCACATTTAGAGTTTACTAACAACCTGTTTTTAAAAAAAAAACTTAAGAACAGTCGTGTACATTCATCAATTTATTACTGAGGAGATTGGAGGGTAATGACAAAAAATTACCACTTAAATACCAATCACAGGGATCCCTTGGAATGGACCACTAAAACAATTTTGGCAATAAATTCTCTCATCAAGGTCACAGACTGTGGTGATTTAGATAACAGGTGTGAGGGTTTATTTTTGTGCATATAAAGGGTTAATCCCATCAGCTGGTTTCACCACACACAACACACACACCATCAATCAACAAGGCCTGACAGCCAAGCCGCACACAGCTCTCGCTTGCTCGCTCTACCGCCCGATACAGCCACGTGTGTCTCTCGTTAGCTTGCTAACTATCCATTCGCAGCCAGATTATCAATAGCTAGATACTGGTCAGAACTCGCTTGATATTCGGCTGAGTTTTGGCTCGACTAAGCTATTGTTATTCGTCTGCGGGTGGGTTATTAGCGGCCCGAGAGCACATCATTGTTGAAGAGCCAGTCATACCAGCCAGTTTTTTGAACGATTGTCTCGAGAACTGCGGAGAAAAGCACGCTTGGGTGTCCTTTTCAGGATACTCTAACAAGCCTTGCCAGACTCTGCAGGGACCGAGCAATCAATTGCCGCCCGATCAGCGATAGCTACTACCACAACAACCATGGCCCGAGGTAAAACTTGCCAGAAGAAGCCTCAGGCAGACCGCATCACCCGCTCCAAACCAGCGAACGAGAAAAACTCACACAGCGAGGCACCGACCTCTCCAGAGAAGACGGAGCCGACACTTTTAGACGACCCAGTTGAGACGCAGGGTACGGCTACCCAAGCACCAGCAGAAGAGACCCAGACGCTACCAACCCTAGAAGCGACCCCAGCCGAGGCGTAGACTCCTGTTGAGATGACGCCAGTTACTCAGACCACCCCTGATGTGACGCAGAGAGGGAGAACAAATCAGCCACAGACGAAGCAGCAGAACGGTACCTACTCACCCGAGATCACCCAGTGTTCACGCTGTAACAGGGCGTGGCATACCGCCGCAACCTGCCGCAGCAGCCCATTGTGCCGCTACTGCGCCGGACCTCACAACTTCAAGGAGTGCAGCCTAGCAAAGAAAGATACCGACTTCAAAAAGCCCAACTCGAACAGAAGGTGCTCAAACTGCTCAGGCCCCCATAGCGCGAGATACCAGGGATGCCCGTACATCAAGGATTGTAAGAGATCACGGACAGCAACCACCACCAGACATTACTGTCGCCCAGGGGACAGACAGAGCTACCAGGTGCCCAGGCCGCGAGACCACACAAAAACCAACCAAGTCCAGGCCGAAATCTCTACCTTAAAAAAAGAGATCGAGGCCCTACGAAAAGAAAATGCTACCATCAAAACG